ATGAGTTGATGGAATTACACTGCATAAATGGTTTTACATAGAAATTCAGTCTCAGATTATTCAGTTTTTCAAAATAAATCTCATATAAAAATTCATAATTTAATTTATTCTTACTTTAACAGATCAACAATAACATGATCTGAAAACGCTCCTCAACCTTATAGTTTTTACTATGTAATGGACATACTCTAGGTAAATCTTTTTTCCAAAACATTACTTTGAATAAAAAGACAACTTTTTACAAAAGTATGTATCATAAGTTAGAACAATTTGTAACTGTCTTGAACACAAACTGGTTTAACAAATTTTATAAGGTTTATAATGCCTATTTATATTTTAATATTGTCGTACATTACTAAAATAATGCATAGTTTTCAATTAGCAGTGAGGAAAAGTATTGTGCCTTTACCGTACTTTATACGTTGTATATAAATGATATCTTTAAGCGTTCTTAAACGTACTCCAACAGACATTTAGCAAACACTAACCATGGAAGATAATTATTTAGTAAATGTTATCATTTCATATTGAAGCGCAAGATAAATCGGTCCAATAGTCCCAGTCTGACGTTAATGGATTGTGAACTTTCATAAAAATTGTCTAAGAGCTTTAACATTGAAATATAATGCTATAAATTTCTTATCACCTAGACATTCGTAGAAATGTAACTGGCTAAAAGGAAATTAATGTGAGATGGTTGTTTTGTATGCATCATAGTTGTCACAAATACGCATACAATTTCGTATGCTACTCCTTACTTATACATTATAAAATATTTGTGTAAGCTTATCACAATTAACTGATGTTTTTGGAACAACCAAAGAGCGAAGCAGTCAATTTCATTTAAAACATCTGGAGTTATTGAAGCTGCTAATTAATAAAATTGTCTAATACGATTTCTGCATTTGCTTGAAGGAAACAATAGGCATTCGTCACATGTTTATGGTTTCGCTAATATTGATGTTAAACATGTTTCAGGCAATTTATTTATATTTTCGGATTATCACATATCAGTTATTCACCGCTTAGAGTTTTGGGCATTTGAAGAAATATGTTTAATATTTGATATATGTGCGAGTTTACTGTAGCAGGCAGATAAATTCAAGCATATTGATGAAAACATGAAATGATAATTCAAGTTTAAGGACATATTATTCATTCAATACTCTGGAAATAATGATGTATTTTAATATAAAGAGACTACGGACGCTCGATAGTTTTACTTAGGTGCCCATTCGTGCCTGATAAAATCCAAGAAGAGGCATATGAAATCTTTCTACACCAGTATAGCTGAAATGTCGCCATAAGAACTTTATTGTGTTAGTGTTACTTAAAGTCAAACAGTCCACGTTTTTCTTTATAGTTCTTTATGTGATGAATGTGTAATATGAGTGACTACTTTTGTTGATAAACTTGCATCGTTATTTAGTTCAGGATTTATTACCACACCCGAGTTGCCATATGTGCTATCAAAACGTAATACACTGAATACCCTTAATTATCACATATTACGCGACTCGGGAGTGTAATAAAGCCATTTAATAAAACGATATTACACTATAGTCTGTCCCATTGAAAATGGAAATGAACTTTTGCCTGGTATGAATTAACAAAACGAGATTGAATAAAAATTAAACTATTTTTGTAAACTAAAAAAAAGTCACCCTCGAGATTTTTCAGGATTTTTCTCGAAAGTCCCTATTTTTCTTTTGAAAGCAAATTTTGATTTCTCTATGGAAAATCTCTGTTGTTTATTTTCCGTAGCCATTGCCGAAGTACTCTTCATTTGAAGATGAACGGGAGATAGCACGTGTCATGTTTCCAAAATATACATGAGGTTCTCGGGGTCGTTTCATAATTATTTTACAAAGCTGGATCTACAAGATGTAGCAGTTTAGTTGCAATGCCTGATGTTAAACTTTAAAAAATGAAAAATAAGCAACAAGAACACCGACACATGAACTGCACTTACTTTTAAGCTGAATAAAATCCCTATGAATTTCGAAATAGATCTTTATAAACGTCACAACAAATTCACATTCTGAAGATTCCTTCTCCAGTTCCGTAGATCTTCAAAACTAACTCCTAAATGTCATGACACCTACAGGCTACAGCTACACTAATGGTGATCCAGATTTTTTTTAAACTGTTAATCCGTCTCATTATTAACACATTGTTCAATTTGTGGAGTTATCTGGGTTAGCAAATGAAATATGTACATGAAACATATCATAATTCAGTATGTTCCAAATCCATAATTCAAGAACGGCCCATCAATTTTAGTTGTCAACATCACAATGTTTATAACTCTTGAAAATGGATTCCTGACGAAAAAACTTTATTACGTCAACAACAATTTACGAAATGTATGACGTAACAAAAATGCCTCGCGCTTTTTATGGATGATTCCGGGTGCGGCATTGACAGAGGGCGGTAAGGCATATGTAACCCCATACATATAATAATTTTAAGCCTTGTGATAAATTTGTCTTGATGGTATTTAAGATAATTTTTGTATACCCAGATTTTGCAACTTAGCTGTTAAAATTACACCTTCAATTCATATATTAACAATAAAACTTTTGATAACATTTGAATAATTTTAAACAAACTTAATGTCAGTACAATACTTCTTCCATTAATTCACATATAACCTTCGTTTTTATTAAATATGCTTTTAAACTATTTTATATATTTCTCAGAAATGATTTCCCTACATATTATCTCGTTATTCAGGACGTTAGTAAATCCTACTCTTTTAGCTATAAAATATACAATACGCGGTATTTTTCTCCCGCGAAAAATATGCTATTGTTTTTTGTTTGTTTTTTTTTCACTGAATATTTTCAAATTTTAGGAAGGCTAAAATTATTGAGGACGTCGCTCGGTGTTTCTCTTTGACTCGATCTCCCCTTCATATTTACATAATGATGATATGTAACACTTTGAATCTACAAAAAAAAAGAAAGAAAGAAAAACACTTATTGTCGCTTATTGAATGCTCCAATTCAAACATATTCTTAATAATATCAAATCACTGCCGATATTTCTGGACATTTTGTTAAATTGTTGGACGGAAAGTTAAATCTGTATTTACGAGCTTAAAGTGCATAGGTTTATGTTTGATTTCTCAAACTAGAAAGCATGATATTTTATTCTTATTATTTACATTTTCCTCGAACGCGAGTTTTTTTTTATAGTGAATCAGTTCTCCTTTTTATATATTTCTTGCCAGATTTGCATGATAATGTAACGTTAGTATTTGTTGGCGATTTGATTGAAAAAGCTATCTAATCAAATCACTTCATTGGTCTTTTTCTCTTTAAAAGAATATAAAATACGGCAGTATATTTTGGTAATTATATAAATCTTTGTGTGTTACAATTTATATTTAAATAGCGGTTACTGATGTTTTCACTTTAAAAATTTTGATTATTTTAAATAATAGTTTGCTAGTAAAATTGCCTTTTTGACAACAACTTTGTTATCATTTTTCATTTTAATGATAACATTTAGCTATTGATTAGTAAGTAAAAAAGAATAATCAAATTTTTATAATTACCGAGTATATTTCATGCTAATTGTGAGAAGAACCCTAAATGACGTCTATATGGGCGCCGCCATTTTGAAATGGACGTCACGTCAGGTTACAACGTAAGTCAACGGAAAAAACTATTATTTTAACATTTTGACTATATTATTGAATTTATGAAAAAAATGAAAAACATGCTTAGAGATATTGACGTCAGGGTTAACATGATATTAATTTAAATGATTTTACTATTATATTAAATAAAAAATTGAATATTCAAATTTGATGGAACAGACTATAGTGTAAAATCACTTTGACGTGACATCATTTGCGCTATTTATACACATAGCGTTATTTGAAGCGCGCTAATGCTAGCGTTACACTAGAGGCGCGTCGATGAAAAATGACTCGTTCTCTTTTTGAATATGTGATCAATAGAATATAATTACATTCGTGTAGATTCAATACTGAATTTATTGAACTCGTTGAATAAAGCAATATTATGTTCGCATAATATGATTTTATTCAACTCGTTCAATAAATTTAGTATTAAACCTACACTTATTCAATATCTCTACATCAAACTAGTAACAATTAACATCAACCTAAAACCGCATTACAAACATCATTTCAATAAAGTGTTAAGTTAACAATGGATATCCGACGAAATCTGCTTTTTATTCATTTTTCTTTTAAATAACTGGTGTCGAAAGACGTAGCTTATGAGCACTGATTTTTAATAATACATGGCATCTTTGATGAATGGTACATTATAAAGCATACAAAAATCAAAGTAGAATAATGATTCCGACGACGAGACTAAACTTAACTTAATTTAGCGATATCTTATGTCTAATCGAAATAATATTCTCATTAAGACATCGTTCCTATGTAATGAGATTCATAACTGATCAACAGATCAATCAGTAATATTCATCGGTTCATAATAGCTTGCTGACGGAAATATGAAATTTGTTTGATTAGTACTGCCCCAAACATTTTCTCCTGCAATCGACAGCTTATATTTATTAGCTCACTGACATGTACAATTCAGTACATACCGTCCTGATCTCTATTTGCATTTGATTCCCTGTAATGACTAACGGTACTGCTATCTTTATGATATCAGTACGTGTGTTTCATATTTATATTGTTTATAACATAATCAATATATATTACACTATATAACAAAAGTAGGAGTCCGTGGCCGAGTTGTTAAGGTCGTTGACTACAAACCACTTGCCTCTCACTGCTGTAGGTTCGAGCTACGTAAGCGTCGATGGATTATGCATGAGAAAGCTATCCAGTCAGCTTACAGATGTCGGTGGTTCTCCTCAGGTGTCCGTTTGTGCCTGATATAATGTACAGAGGGCCACATGAGGTCTTCCTTCACAAAAACTACATGAGAACCACAGACAAGCTTTTACTAACATGAAACCCTTCACAAACGTCTGCTTTTAATAAGTGTTACCTTTGTTAAAATTATGCCCTTAAAGATGTAAAGGAATAAATATCAACGAGGCTGAGTTCGTTCAATACTTTTAATTGAAATGTCCATTCATTGTATGATCTCAGTATATTACTATATTAATATAAAGCTTCCAGTAGATTTAACCCAAGAGGTTAAAGTCACATCCCAACTTCACATCAAGCACTTGTTTAAGCACCAATCAATATATAATCAGTATCAAATGTAGATATCAATATGAAGATCAATATGAAGATCAAGCCCTGAAACAAACAAATATAGCAATACTAAATACATGTACATACTGAGATCATTAACACAACACAATATATACAATTTAAGTCATAGCATGATTATAACGAACATCTCACATCAAATAGCCAATATAACAGTCATTAAACCATTACATCAATTAATTACTTCTAAATTAATAACTGAACATTCCAAGTACTGTTTTCTGTATAATATTAAATATTAAATAATTCAATCCAGTGGCCTATTAAATGAATATAGTTAACTTATAAAATAGTAAAAACAATAATATGACTTGTACAATTATACATACCAATTGTGGATTGGACTCAATTACACTCATACAAAAATCCTCTCAATCTTGTGATGTTACTGCAACATACTGTAATTAAAATGTGTGCACAATAGAGAATGACAGTGATTTATATTAATGACTGCAAATAGATATTATTTAAATATGCTGCCATTATCAGATGCATTGTAAACAAATCATGTACAATATATCATGAATATCTTTATTTTAATAAACTTTAGACACACAGCTCATTTTTAACTCACTTAAACAAAGTAAAGCAACCAATATTAAACTTCACAACCTCAATCCAAAATCCAAAATCCTATTTAAGAATTAAACCAATTTATTATTTCTAAACAACTGAAAACATGTCTGCCTTCTACCAAAAAACTGAGATACAACTCAGAAAACGGCGGAACAATTACACGCCATGATTAACTAATAAAACAGCCAAGGGAAATCACTCTACAGGCTTTTAATCACATAAACTACAACTATTATTTCCCTTGTTACACACTTCCTGCTTTGAAAAATGACGTCCCCATTGTCATGTCAAATTCATTTCATTGTCATGTTCATTCAAAATAGCTGTCATTAAAAATATATTTAGCCACATTCATGGAGCAAACTTCCCCTTTATAAAGCTTATCCTACATAAACAACGTTTTCCTTCCATAAAATACTAGTACTCATATCTGAACATATAATTAACAATTACATTTCAATCAAAAAATTGTTAACTTTAAGATAAAATGCAGTAGTTTGCTTAGTGTCTGCAGCACATAACTTTCCCTTGCAAATATCGCGAACAACCTGCTAGCATATAACGTCGCGAAAAAAAACATTTCAAAGCACAAATTCGCTTCAGAACATAAATAATCATACTTATTTGAAAACATTTTACGCTCAGTCGCGAATATATGAATCATAATCATATTTCCTGCCAAAATATGCCAACTTTTCTTTCTCGCCCCTTCTTGGGAAACATATGCGTACCTCGCAATAAATAATTAAAACTATTAAAACCACATTATTATTCAATTTTATTTATTAGTACAGTAAAGTACAGATTTTTCAATTCGAATATCAATTCAATATAGCTTTATTCATTTAGCATCCACATTTTCCTTGCAGTGTCTATTCTATATTCTCAACATCACCTGAACAATCATAGATCATGCTTGTATCTTGATCATACTGTGGTTATGTTATCATGCTATGCATAGTTGATAGTCCTTATATCTGTCGGTGCTTTGCTTCGGTCTTTTCTGTTTTCTAGTGGTGTGTGTGTTTAACTGTCGCTTTGTTTCTTCACTCAATATTCTTTCTGTCTCCTGTCTCTTACTGTCTCTCCCGTACAGTACGGCCATGTAGTTCATCCTTCTCTACTTAATCTTCTTCTCGTCTAGCTTTCATCTGTCTACTTTCAGTTAAACATTTTGCGAATGTCGTTTCAGCTCTGTCATCTACACTAAGTTCATATTGAATCTTCTTCTCTCTGAGTGATTTTCTACATGTCATTTTGAACATCGTCTCCTCCTCTATTTCTCTTCTCAACCGTATTCGCTGTTTAGATCGTTTTGTTTGACTACTGCAGGTTTCTTCATACTTGTTACGCTGTCTTTGATTAATCTGGTTCTACTTTGCATACTTCTGTTCTACTTCAGTTCTTCTCCTTCGATGATCTCTGACTGTGGCGTCCCCATCTTTTTGTTTGTGAAACAACATGATATCATCAATTTCATCATCTGAATCTTCTGAGTCTGTACGCTCAATTTTCTTTCCGGATGCTCCCCTTATCTTTCTCCTCTGAAGACTCTGCTTTTCTGTCTCATTCACCTCTTCTATGTTCTCATTGCTTCTTTGATATTCAACTAGAAAATGATTTCTGGGTAGTGTGCGTCTTTGCCTTGTTTATTTGACTAATACACTGGAATGTCTTTTTGTTATCAATGACTTTATAATTCTTCTTCGAACTTGTCAGCTAACTTGTGTTTTCCTTCTTATGGCCAAATCATCACTAAACAAAATCTCCTAGCTCAATCTTGCCCTCTAACTTCCTATCAATAGTATTTCTTCGTTTCGCTTTTTTTGCCAAATCCCATGTGTTCTGTCAATTTCCTTCTTTTCTATTCATTCTTCTTGTTCATCTTCATATTATCTGAGGTTTTCTTTGATTTTGTATCTTCTTGGCTGTCAAAGTAACATTAATGGGAGTTTTGGTTCCTGCCGACAAGTTCATATGGGATACTTTGGTTGTCTCATGTTGGAATCAGTTGTATGCAAATACTAGTGATGATGACTTCGTTTTTTTTTTTTCAATCGCTTTTCTGTGAGTTTTGGAGTCACCTAGCATACTCCAAAGCTATCTATGAATCGTTTGGTCCGATTACCTTGCGGGGTAAATTGAAGTATGAGATTCTTAATGTTGGTGATTTCACACAGTCTTTATTAATTGAGATTCATTTAGCTCCTTGATTCTAATGTATCTTTTGGAAATCCGTAATGATGATGAAGTATTGTAGAAGTTCTCGCGTCGTGTTGGCAGTCTCTGATCTTAGTTGGAATAGCTATGCGCATTTAGTAATGTTCCGTTATGAAAGTATGTTTCCATATCCCTCCTTTGAGATTCCAGTTCAGATAGTCAAAGCAAACTAATTCCTGATAGGTTGTATGAACATTAACAAGTGGATCTTGTGTTGGTTTGACTCTTTCTTCTCAGGCAATCTGTCACATTTGAAACAAAATTATCAATATCTGTTGTGCATTCCAGGCCAGTAATCTTTCTTGGACCACATCTTCTTGGTTCTTCTCTTTTCTGGATGTCCTACATCTGTATGTAATCCATGTAATATTCTTTTTTAAACATCTGGAATGCATAGTTCGCTCTTGTCTTGTTGTCATCTTCAGTTGTTTTCTCTAAATAGGATTCCTCTTTTGATCTGTAAATGTTGAAATTCTTCTTCATAATCTGGTCTTTCTTATCAAAACATTTATCTGAATGGTTCTTGATCTATCACTGCTTCTCCATCTGTCTAGCTAAAGGTCTTCTCTTTGCTTCTTCCTTATCTCTCTCATCTCAATCTGGGCATGCGTTGACTGGGGTCTTCCTGTTGCGCTCTATATGTGACATTCATTTGGTCTCTGATATGAATACTTTACACACATATTCTCTCACCATGTTGTTATCTAGGTTGTTCTTTTCCTATCTTAATTGTTGTATCTATAGGATATCTCTCAATTGGCGTGCCGCATCTGATTTCATTCCCAGGTCATGTGTATTCGACTCAATTCCTCCAAGCGCTTGCTGCCCATCTTGACCCGGTTGCATTCCCGTTACTGAAGTCAGCACATGTCCTCAAAGATTGTAGTCTGTATATTTGGTGAAATGATTTCCAGTCAAATAATCTTTACAATTTCTCAGTTACTGCCCCATTTTAAATGCAAAAATTCTAGTTTATAGCTGAGTAATTCTTTCCTATTTCGACAAGTACTTTAGACTATGAAATAATCTTTTATGTTCTCCTTGTTGTTGATATAGTATCGCACCTAGTCTATTGTCGACGATCAGTGTAGCTCAAAGGGTTGGAAGAAAATCCGGATATCCAATAGTAGGTGGGATGATAATTATCTTCAGCTCTTCAATATATGTCTGCTCTCTTTTGTCAATTCCATGGTTTAGTTGCCCATTTTCTTGCTCTCTCTTTGATGTTGTGAGTATAAATTTGCTAGTGCGTCTGGTGATTTGCTGAACCTTCAATAAATCTTCTGTAATAGCTGGGACAAATGGAAAGGAAAGAATGTAAAGCTCATCTGACTTTTCAGTTTTGCCAATCACTACTTCTGTTTGTCTTGGATCTGTTCTATTGCCTTCACTGCTCACGAATGCCTTAGAATTTGGACTCGTTGTTTGAAGGCATTAACATTTTCGGAGCTAGTTTCAGGTACATGACTTCAGGCGGTGAGTAAAATCCAATCTTTCAGATTTGTTCATAAGAGTTCGCTGAAGATATAAATCGTCTAATAGCTGACACGATTTTCGTGAGATCTCAAGAGCATTCCTCCATTAAGCGTTGATAAGTTGCTGTGAGTTGTTAATCCGAACTGGCATTTTTGTTGAATTCCACATCCTAACGGTCCCTACGAAAGCATGTTCTTTCTTTATGTTCTTCTTCCACTCTATCTGATGATATCCTATTTACTCCGCCGACGTGTTTGAAAATCTTTGGCTCATGGTGTGAGACAATCAAAATCTCTTCATATCCTCTGGCACATGCACTAGGAGTCTTTAATGGTTTCTCTGGTATCGTATCAACAATAGCCTTAACTTTCCAATTCTTCCTAACTAGCACTAATATTTAATCAAGAGTGATTTTGTAAGGTGCTTATAATACCACTGCCAAATAGTTGTTCTATTTTGCCTTACTTCATTTAATCATTGATGGTGATTCTTCTATGTCGTGCTTGAATGTTGTAGATCCAATAGATCATCTATGTTTCACTCTGTTTACACTTCATGTCTTGCGAAGTTGAAAATATATCCCTAATGTTCCATTAAATTGTCTGTATTCTGTCCTCGTCAACGATTGTTATGTCAATCTTTAATACTATTCTGGGCTCTTGCTCTTGTCAACTCTTGCACCTTCACCTATTGTGTATGCTTCATCGTATGTTCACGCTATGTACATTCGCAAATCATCTCTTTGGTGAAATTGTTAGCCGTGTTGTTGTAGATTCGATACGGTAATCTTTCATACATGTTATTCCCCGTATTCATACTTGACTATGCTGTAGTGACATCTATGTTCTGTATAGAAGCTCTCAAGTTTCCTGAAAATCGGCATTTGTCCGGTCTATTCTTTATCAGATATAACTCAAATAGATGGTCCTCATTTCGCTTTATCAATACTTTATGGGCACTTCTACAATTGGCATTCTTTTTGTATTGCGTTTTCTCTCTAAGCTCACTGGTTCTGAAACACAAATTACATGTATATATACAGTTTGCTTCTCTGTAAAAATTTGGTCTCCAAAATTGTCCTTACATTCCTTTAGAAGTATGTCTAAATGTTGGTTCCTAAAATGACTGGTTTCTAGCTGAATAATTAGTATCCGGTACAATCAAAAATAAGCAATGTGTGATTCTTGGATTCTGGAATTCCATCCGGTATATTGATATTTGCTTGAATGTATCCTAAATATGGAAGTGTTGATCGCCTTCGTCAGCACATTCAATATGAATAATCTCTGTGAGTGGCTGTAATTCAATGTCTGCACAAGTTATTCCTATAAATGATGCCGCAATTAAGCTGCAACTGCTTCCTGTATCTAAAAGAGAAGAAGTAACTGTGACCATTGATACTGATGTTTGGCCTCATTGTGTCTCAAATAATTTAGGATCTTTCTTAACAGTTGTGCTATAGTTCGATCCAACAACTGCAGCACTCACTCGTTTAAATCCTTCCTTGTTACCTTGTCTTGCTTATCCAAATCTTTCAAGTCGGTTCTGCAATTCCGAGCTAGATGACCTCTTTGATTACAACGATAACATGTTCCTTGGAATGTTGTTGATGCTAGTGGTCTTGATGGTATATACCTACCTCTACCTCTTCCTGTGAAGTTTCCTCTGATACAATATCCTCTTCTGTAAGGTCTACTTGCAAATCCATATGTTGTTCTTTGTTCTTCTTTCGTGTCCTTTTCTTTCTGAAAGTTAACAAATTTCTCATTCAGTTGCTGGAGCATTGATCTGAGTTCCTTCATTTCAGTATTTTCCTCTTTTTCCATCTTTTGTGCTGTTTGACATGTCCTTGGTTTTTACATTCTGTCTTCATCTCTGCCTCCATCTTCCGTAAGCTCTATCTTAAATGCGTCATAGTCCGGTATTGGGTTGCAAACTTGTATTGGGCGATATGGGTTCAAGTCGATTCTCAAAACCTTGATAAAGCACTTGCTTTAAAAAAGCTCTTCTCGTCTATTTATAGCTCCTAATCAGATTGCTTGAGAATACATTCCTCCAATTTCGCTGCATTAGAGTGTTGATGCTATCTGTACCTTGAGTACACGAATAGAACTTTTTCATAACTGTCTCCTGGCTTTCTATATTTCCATAAGTACTATCCAGTTTCTTTAAAATTTCCGCTACTGTAACACCTGTACCAAGTCGTCTAACAATGTCGCTTGCTGTACCTCTCAATGCTCTCCTCATACCTAATAATACTTGAGCCTCTGTAAAAACTTTTTCACTCAGTAAAGACTGTACCTCAAACTTGAATGCTTCATATGTTACATCTCCTTTGTTTCCTCTCCATAGAAGTTAGATAACTTTGGGAAGTGATATGATCCTGTAAGTCTTATAGGTGAAGCTGATGCTGTGGTTGATGGTAAAGTACCAGTCAAAACTTGTATAGTCCGAAGCATCTTCTGTTTTTATCTTTGTACTGGATGTTGTAAGTGTTGGAAATTCAAGACTTGATGATGGTGTTGTATGTGCTTTCGTCGGTTTTAATTTATCTGCATCCTTTTCATCTTCCCATTTATTAAATCGTTTCAAAATTTCACCAAATCCTCCGCACCTCCAAGTTCCGGTCTAAGTTTGAGTTCATGAAAAAGCTTCTATCAAATTAACATCTTCCTCTGTTAGATCTACGGATTCCATATCCTCGGTAGATTTTGTAGCTTTTCTTTCTCCTCCCTCTGCTCCTTTTTTCTCATCCATTTTAAAATCAATTTAATTTCAACAATATAAATAAAAGCTAATGCAAAAGACTGAAAATTCAAATATATTACTATCAGTAATATTCTGCTCACCAAGAAAAGAATTTCTTTTATAAAGTAACCCTTTTCACAATTTAATCAGCATATTCTATAAAAATAATCAGTAATCTTTCCCTGAAATTGCACAATATTACACTGTTAAATATATAAAGTACCCGAATGATAATAAAATTATCAGAATGATAATCAATTATCAATATATTTTGTAAAATAGCAAAATATACTGTATATACATGTTATGTTTTAAAGTATTTCACCTGTAAAATGCAAGAATCTTGCTAAAATATTCAAATGAAGTAATCAACAAGCTGTTGATAAGCCTATAAGACTGTAGAATAATAAACTATCACTTCAATAAGTAAATAAATGAATAAAATTTAAAGCAAATATAAACAGTTTAACAATAAAACTGAATTATTTCCAAAAAATTTAATCTATATTGCTTATACTTAAGTACAGTATGCTGATAAACCAATCTGGCTTTCTGATTTCCAAGTGTATACTATCACCAAGTGTATAAGGACATCAATCAATAATTCTCTATCAATTTCGATCAAAAATCAATAAGTTTTCTATCAATTTCAATCAAAATCAATGATATACATCAGTAAACACTAATTCATAATCAGATGAGTAAATACATATAATAATGCTATATAAGCACTATTAGACATCTAAATCTTAGCATGTATGGTTGTAGATGGTCCAATCTAATCCAACTCACTCTTACAAACTCAGAATTTGTGAACAATCAACAAATTTGAACAAATATAGTTTTAAATCTGTGAATAATACATAAGACAACAATGGCAAGTTTATTATAATATTCGGTTAATTTTAATCTCTTTTATTTATATATCAGTCACAAGCACACTGAAATAAAAAGCAGAAATTATCTCTATTCAAATTTATCTATTCAATATACCTAAGCTGTCAATTGCTTTAAAATTAAACCTAAATTTAATTCAAATCAATATCCTAAATCAAAATTATAATTCCCAGATGTGCTTATATTGAATCACATTATTTTAAATATTACTTAATATAATTAATCAATAAACCAAAACTTTTCTAATCTGTTTTTACAATAATACTATAATATTTCACCCCAAATGACCTATATGCAAATTTATATAGTTTCTAAATACCATTTAACCTATTGTTACTAAATATATCTATTCAAATGACCTGTAAATGCTTCCCACAATGCTAAATTCCATGAAATGTTACCAAATATAGAAGTCAGGTGGTTGTCACATGGTCAGTCACATGTTCAAAGTTCACAAGAGCACTGTCTTGTGAGGTCAAATATCCCAGATCCCATTACACACAGGTTTATCAATGGAACAGCTGATTGTGGTAAATACCACACTATCAAAACAAACTACCCAGACTACACACAATACACTCCAGAATTGAAACTGACCTTGAGTAGGTTTAGATTCAATGTAAAACAAAGCAAAATATGCCAGGAAATCCAAATACAACTAGAAAAGTAGAACCATAAACTGAAAATATCAATACAAAAGTAAGGTCACACCTGAGCTGTGTATATAAACAAATGAACAGCAGAAAGTAGACTTTCTGAACTGAAATTAAAATTTACCTGTTTTTTATTTTTAAATACACTAGAATGGCAACATATTTGACAGGGATAATTATTGAAGATAGATGCTAATTATAATTTAGAGTTATTAGTAAAAGAACCTTCACCGGGTTGGGAAATTAATTGATAATGTGAAGTGACTTTTCTTTCACTCTTTACAATGTATCACACTGAATATTAGAAATTGCAGTTGTCCTTTTTTATTAATAAATAAAAATATTCAAAACTATATAATTATCTATATAATTACTTAGAAATTAAAGGAAAAGTTGCTAAATATTACAAAAAATATTTCTTTTAACTAATAAACTGCAATTCCTTAATATATAATTTTATTTCTTACTCACACATCAGTTGATCTGTACTTGACCACTGGACTGTTACATGTACCATATAATTACCATATTTCTGTTCAATCATGTAGAAATTAACAGAACTGTCCTGAATCAGCACTTATAAAAAAAAAAGTGTCTGTAATATGTAACACTAAACTAACACTGTCAGTCTATCACTATAATCACTTCGCGTTTAACTTAAAAGTTTATGTCCCTGCTCCTGTAAATGTTGTTGGTGTCGTCGATCCTGGATTCGAAGAAAAGCCTATATATCGTGTTGTCGGTTAGGGAAATGAAGATTCCCAGTTCGTACTCTCAGCAAGGTTATTAGTGACATTCACTATTCTCCAGTTCATGATTTCCGTCCAGCAAGCGTTAGTGAGAAGAATATCACTAATTCTCCAAATAAACGATAAAATCCTGTGTAACGCATATAACGAAGTGATGATTGCCACAGTAATGTCCTGATATGTGTCTCTGCCTGTAAACCAAATTCAAAGATGAGACGATATGCCACTGAAGTCTCAATATTAAAATTAATACGATTATCCTATGCACAAATGCAAACCTTATAATAAAATATGTCACTGTCCTTAAATGCAAATTTCACTTAAATATAACCTAAAGTGTTATAATATTGACACATTCTAACCTGTAATAATTTAATTCGCAGTCACTTACTGGAAATTACTTTAATGAAAAAAACATGAGATCATGAAAATAACCGTTGCGGCGCCAATGTTTACCTATAATTAATATACAAGCTCAGTAGATTAACCCAAGAGGTTAAAGTCACATTACAACTTCACATCAAGCACTTGTTTAAGCACCAATCAATATATAATCAGTATCAAATGTAGATATCAATATGAAGATCAATATGAAGATCAAGCCCTGAAACAAACAAATATAGTAATATACTGAGATCATACAATGAATGGACATTTCAATTAAAAGTATTGAACGAACTCAGCCTCGTTGATATTTATTCCTTTACATCTTTATGGGCATAATTTTAACAAAGGTAACATAAGCAGTTACGAAACACAATTATTTAAAACATTCCCTTGCTAAAGTCTTTAAAATGTGCAACATTTTTGTGTTATTCATTTGTTTTTGAAAATGACGTAGATATTAATTTAGTTCATAAGCTTCATTATGTTATATTGAAACGTAAGGTAAAACAGTTTTGTAGTTTCTGTCTGACTTTAATGATAATTGAACTTGCATAAAAATTGTATAAAGAAATAAGAGAAGGTTTAACTTTGAGGGCAATCGCAATACAAGTCGTTGGAGACAGTTGTAGAAATGAACAAAAAAATCGAAAGCAAGAAAGGAAGACATATTTTTATGTTGTATCATTTACGTAGATTTATTGAAATTCAGTTCTTTTGTTAGCTAAACATAAATAACTATCTTAAACACAAAACTATGTTAAAAAGATTAAGTAACAATCCAACGTTTAATACTGAAACAATGAAATTGATAGCGTCTGATTAAGGTAGACCATGGTAAATGCATTGCCTCCACTTTGAAGAGCATTCAAATAAGCTAGAATCAAAACTGAGGGGTGTGGGTTCAAACCCCAGAAGGGGCAATTTATTTTCTTTCTTGTTTCTTTTTAACATTATTTATGTATCTCTCAGATCCCTTGTGGAAGAAAAAAGGGTTTGATTATAATTTTTGTAGGTATTTATTTGCAACATTTAAAAGGAAAGTTATAAAATAAATACTACGCGGTAAAAGTATTTTTTATTTTGCATGGTCAATTAAATTAAATATACTTTAAAAAAATTAGGCACACTTTGAAAACAGACCCTAATTGTGGTAAATTTTAGGGATATTTTATATAAGGCTTTTTATATATAGTACAGTCCCTGGGGACCTTTTGTGTGCAAAAGAGGTCCATGGATAAATGTTATATCAATGTAAAGCTAAGTATTTGAAGTTTACAAAAACGTTGGGTAGAAATCTCAAATCATGGTACTTTTTGAGAAATAAAGAGATGACCGCCAATGTATTGAAAAATGGCTAAAACGCATTTTGTTTGCTAATATTAGTTATTCTTAGTCTTAATAATATAATATATCAATTCACTAGAAATTTGGACGCAATGTTCGTCTACCCCACCCAACTTAGGAATATCAGAATCCACATTCTTACACAATAAAGATAAAAGTAAGGATACAGTAACAAATATGTCGACCAGGTCTTTGTAACATATGGTAAAAATATTCATTTTCTCCGCTATGCCTTGAATAATAGAAACAAATGTTAACTCTATGTCGATTTGTTGAATGTATATTTTCATGCTTTTTAAGCAGAATTTATCTATGAAATCCACAGCTTATGTATAAATAATGGAAAAGGCCCCATTTTCGTATTGATCCAATAGGATGTAAAGTGTTTACATCGTTTTTACTAAAATAAATACAAAAAATAACTAATTTTAGAAAATAAAATGCATATAAACCATTTTCAATACACTGGCGGCCATCTTGGCGCCATCTTGGGTTTCTCAAAACGTACCATGATTTTACATGTCTACCCAAAGTTTTTGTAAACTTCAAGTATTTAGCTTTACATTGATATAACATTTATCCATGGGCCTTTTTTGCACCCAAACGTTCCCCAAGGACTGTACTAATAGGGAAACGATCAAAAAAGTGTTTAAAGTGGGTGGGTAGGGTAAACTATTATTCATAACTCATAAACCACATGATCAATTTTATTTAAATTTGCATATAGATGACCTTTAATGCATATAGCTGTGTCCTATGTTGTCAATGTTACAGTTTCTTATAGTGCCCAATAGCAGTGGTCTTACTTAATGAAAATGTTATAATATTTTATATGGCTATATAGATATTGCTCTCTGTTTCTATGTATTATTTTCCTCATTTGTTTAGATGTATAGAGTTGCATTTAGGCAATAAATGAACGTAATCTTACCGTGACTTGAACTGTGTACTCCGTAACAATTAGTTATTATATTACTTTTTTTATTTAAGACAACCATATTCCGTTATTATGTTTTGGTTTTATTCCATTAATTCTTTTGTGTGAAATAATTTAACATGTCTTTTCTATTTTCAAAAATATAATTAAATGCCATGCGTCATTTAGCTTGAAATAAACTTTAAAAGGTATTATGTAAATTGACTCAATTGCAATTGATACACCTAGTTACAACATTCCGTATTGAATATTGGATGATTACCATATGTTTGTATGGACACCATTTATACATAGACTAAAAACAACATAATCAATAAAATGATCATCTTTTAAAGAAATAGTTTTTTTTTTTTTTTTTTTTTTTTTTTTTTTTTTTTTTGGAACCACGTTTAAGGCCCGTTTATTTACATTTCCTTTTTACATAATACATTCATTTTACATATTTCAATTAATTATTTTACATAACATACGTTACAAACTAATATATATGTTGTTGTAGACATTTTAAAATAATTTCAAAGAGCATATAAACGTGAATCTCTTTAAGAAAAAGTTAAGAAAAAGGATATTATATTTTAAACAAGATAAAGTTTTGTTAAATCAATTTTTAAAGATTTCCTTGAGTCAGTTGAAAAATGCTGAAAATTTTGGGGAGGTGCTAAAATATAAAAGGATAATTTGCAAGAGAAAAAAAACTGTAGTAAACAAAAACATATTTTTCCAACAAACTACGATAAGATAAAAAATAGGTAATATTAAGAAAGAAAGGCTGCTTTGGTAATATACTTCTGACATATCATCAATCAGTTCTTATAACATTATTAGAAAGTTATTCCATTTCCTGTTGAAATCATCAAGAGAATCATTTTGAAATGCTATGTATTTTTCTAAAGATATTCTATCAATCAATTTTCTTTTAAACACAAGATTATTTGGTAATTTCTTTTTTGTTTTACAACTATATATATAATATTTGGCAAATAAGAGAATATATGATAAAATTTTATTTTGTGAATGAAAAAAGGACAAAAATTTGTCTTGGGTTGCATGTATACCAATTTCTACCAACCATTTAAACAATTCATTCCAGAAATTTTGTGTTTGTTGACAGGTCCAAAATATATGTTCTATGCTATCTATTTCCATATTACAAAAATCACAAAGGCTAGATTCCACTAATTTACATCTAAAGAGAAATTTGTTAGTTGCAATATTTCTATGTAGGAAATCAAAATAAAAATTTTGCAAAATATTATCCTTACAAATATCAAACGCATTTAAATATATTTGTTGCCAATTGAAATTTTTATCTGGAAATTCTGCCTCCCATTTTAACTGGGATTTTAGTTTTTCATTCTGGTATTTTAGCCTTCTTTCTTTTTGAACCTGTGTTAATTTTTTATTTAGGAGATGTGTTTCTGTTTTTTCTAAAAGCTCATAAATATTTATTTCCTCAGTTGTTACAGAAAGAATGATATTATCTAATTTTCTTTTCCAACATGTTGGAATTGAAGAGATAAGTCTATGGTAATTTAAAAACTCAGTATTAGGGATGTTATATTCAGTTTTTAATTGATTAAAAGTTTTAAATTTTTTTGCGTTTGTATCATAGATATCTTTTACATGGTATATATTTTTGTTTTTCCACTGTCTGAAATAGAGAAGGCTATTGTTATTTTTTATGTTTGAATTTTGCCAAATAATTTGTTCTGAAATATTTTTCGGATTTTCATTAAAATTGATTTCACTCCAAGCTACTAATACTTCGTGTATAAATTTATTTTTGATTTTAAATTTCAATATATCTTTTGTGTTTATATTGCATTTAAATAAAGATATTCCACCTAAATGATTAATATTTTTCTTTATTATTTCTTTCCACAACCCATTATTTGAATCGTTTATTATTCTTTTTATCCAGTTCGATTTTATTGAGTTCAAAAATATAGGAATGTCAATCATATTTAGACCTCCGTTTTTGTACTCCTGTATTATCACATCCCGTTTGACTTTATCCCTTTTTGAGCTCCATATAAATTCATAACATTGTTGTTTAATTGTATTTACAGTATTATTTGGAGGATTAGGTAGAACAGAAAACAGAAAAGTTAATTTTGGAATTATTAATGATTTCAATACTGAGATATTACCAATTGTTGTGAGATGTCTAGCTTTCCATCTGTTTATGTCTATTTGGAATTGAGATAATCTGTTATCATAATTTAATTTGAGGATATGGTCAGTTTTTGAATGAAATGTTATTCCTAGTGTTTTTACACTTTCTGATGTCCATGAAATATTACTATATTTTTTTCTACAATA